TGAAAGTACTGCCTGGCAACATCTTCAATGCGAACTGAATAAAATAATAATTCCAAATTTCAAGCATGACAAAACCTACAGAAATACAGAGTAGCTGACACCCTGTAAGAAGGCCGCCCAAAATATGGTATTTGATTCTTCCAGTACCGTACGGTGCCCAAAACAGATCTCCCAGGGTGGACGATCCGATGCGCTCCTCTGAAACCAAGTAATCTTCTGGGGACGAGAATTCATCTCACTTTTCTCATAGCGAACTCTTTTCACGCAGAAAAAGATGTACATTGGAATGACGATGACAAATCCTATTCCGGCCAGATCAGCCAGCAGCCAGGGCAGCTGAGGGTTCAGCACCAACTGGAAGTACTTCACCAAAACAACCTGATCAAGGAAAAGTAGTGTGAGACACATGGCCAACTACGTGTGTTGGTGACACTATGGAAACTTCGAGGGAAATGTTGGGCAAACTTTCACCCTAATTCGTGTGCAAACTTCTATAAGTAGTGAGGAAGCTCTTAAGCTCAGCTGAGGAAAGCGAACATATATTCCAACACTGCCTCAAAGTGACACTATGGAAAAATATGCACATGATCAACAACGTGAACTGGTGGGAGTACGAAAATTCCGAGTAAATTCTGAGAAATTCTCATCGGTTTCTGCAAACATTCATCCGAATTCGTGCGCAAGCTTTTATAATTAGTGAGGAAACTCCTGAGCTCAGCTGAGGAAAACGAACATATATTCCTCCAACACTGCTGAGAGATAAACTAGGCCCGCCAACTCACCTGCCCAACAGACGTGGTGATCCAAATCGTTGTGAAGCATATAAGCGGAATAACGGACGAAGCAGCTATATGAAGGGAACCGCGATGATGCTCTCCTGCAGAGGGTGCAGCGGGCATTATGAAAACGACTATCCAGTGGGTGAAACATTCCATCAAAAGCAGTAGCAATATCCACAAATTCGAAACCCAAAAATTCGTCATTTACTTGGTTAGATTCGAAAACTGATATCATGATCATATCATGACCCGCACTATGTGCAGCAACTAGGCACAGCTGAGACAGACACTCTGGTGCTGTTGATTTTCCCGATGGCGCCTCTTACATCATCCTTGCAGTAGTAAGTCACATTTTCTATGAATCAAAACTAGTCCCTAGAAGCCAAACCTCAAGTTGACAACAGGATCTGGTTGATGAACATTCTACTACACTGAATAAATTGACCCAACACTGACAGCCCAAGACCACACAGGAGAAAAGTTGGGAGAGCAAACCTGGCGAATAAGTTGAGTTTATTATGAGGAGTGTGATGTGATATCATCAACATCCACTCAAAGGACAGTACACTCTAAAACGACTACTGTGTGACAGAGGAACACTATGCTGCACTTCACTTTAGAGGCAGTACGACTGCTAACACCGAATAGTTCACAAAATACAACACGTCGTCCTACTCCACCACACGGACGGGGGCCTTGCGAGCACTTGCACATATTCCAGCTTCCAGATCCTTCACACTAGTTTCCAACAGTTTCTCACGAAGAGCCTGAGAAAAGGAAACCCATTCAACTCTCACACTACCACATTTTCTCCCAACATCGAATGTCACTATATTAAGATTATACACCATTCGTACCCACTCCTACCCCTATTCTACCAGAATATCACCGATGAAACAACCATAAAAGACAACCCAAACTCACCTCTTCTGCGACGAGATTGTTGTTCTTAGAAGAGGGCTTCACAGTAGGGCTCTTAGCCAGACCGTACAACAAGCAGGCGGCTAGCGTCAAGATTATGCCACCGATAGCAATAACTGACATTGGCTCGTGGAACAACATGGCCATTATAGTAATCTGGAACGCGGAAAATACAAAACCAGAAGATTTCGCGATTCGCAAAACTCACCTGAGTGGCGCGCCTGACCGTCGACAAGGTTCGATTGAACATAGCATCGGAGTGAGCAGTGACCCCAATCTTCGCAACCAAGGCGATAGCACGGGAAGCACACAAGATCACCAACAGAGTGATATTTAACGAGTTCAGATGCGGCAATAGCGTGGTCCACCACATGCGGTACTCTCCTCCAGAGAAGAGCGTGGTGAACAAAATCTGCCATAGGCAGCAGAACACCATGCTGTACCTGAACAACGTAAAAAGTCAACCATACGTCCATGAAAAAGGACAACTTACACTCCAGCTTCCAGCAGGTGGTCATTTCTCGATTTGACGAGAATCTTCTGTTTGTAAACCCACTCTGTGAGCACAGCTTGTACCGTACTAGAACCAGCAACACCGAACACTGTAATGATAATGCCCAAGGTCATGTTATATTCATGATGCTGAGCTTGAGCAGGCTTGGCCATAGCGAGAGCAGTCATACTCCCACCAGTTAACATCATGATAATCGAGAGATAATGCCAACCGTTGAAGATCTTCCTGAACACCATCACAGACAGTATGAGCCCTATAAGGAG